TCTGATGTTCCTAAAACTCTGACTCAACCTGCTTTTCAATCCGAAGCTCTAATGAAACAAAACACGTTACAGCTCAGCTGGAGGGAAGCAACAGAATAAATCCCAGGATCATACGGATGTTTCCTCCGTATCACATTCAGGAGTCAGACTAACATACCAACCAGATCGGTTCTAAATGTTTGTAACACAGGTTTTAGGCATGGTGCTCTGGTTCGTTGTCTGACCAGGTTTTTGTTCCTCATTCCTCACATCCAGCAGCCAGAACCTCTTCCTCTTTAGAATAACGCCAGAGATGTGTCTTTAGAGACAGATGACGCTCCGCTGTACATGCTGCTACAGTCCATAGATCCTAGGGGCCTTTCAATTTGAAAATGTCTTCAAGCCCTTCTTTGGTTTGAACTCCCAACATGCATCATCAGCTGGGAGACCGTGTACAGTGAACATCTACGTAGTCGAGTTAAATTTCAGCTAGGTGAACTCAAAGGAACAACTTATAAAAGTAGAAGCATCAGAGCTCCACTATTATGTAGGAAATGAACAACAGGTCCGAGTGTTTCTGACAACCAGTAAAAGACTCACCTGCAGCCATAGTGGGCAGCATGCTCCCTCGCTCTTCATCGAGAAGAAAAGCCCAGTCTTCGTAGAAAGTTCTAAAGACGATATGACGAACAAAGTTAACGTAGATCAAGGTGATTTCCACACACCAGGTGTACGCACTGACCCCAGGCGAGGGCGGTCAGCGAGCAGCGTGTGCAGGTAGCGCTCCAGCGAGTGCTCGTTGAGGGCGCAGCGCAGCCAGGCCCGACCCCGGCCCAGCTCCGAGGAGATCTGGCGCAGACAGTAGAAGCGCTGGAGCTCGTGGCGGTTCAGGTGCTCCTTCACGTAGAACCAGAAGTTCAACTCTAATCCAAGAAGGAGAAATGTGTGAAAAAACAGCTTCACTTGAGCAGAGACAAACATCTCCAAGTCCTGAGAAGATTCACACTGTTGGTCTCTTCACCATAAAACGCTACTACCTAACGCAGCCTGGGCTGAGACCAGTGACCGGCGGCTTGGCTGGGAACCATCCCGTGCGTGTGTGTAGTCACAATAAAATAATCACAGATAGCTAACAACTCCTAGGGATGCTCCCATCCGATCGTGATTAGAAATCGGGCCCAATCACGCGGATTTTCAACTGATCGGAATCAGGTGGGAAAGATTAGATGTAACCAAATAAAACAACCGACATTACTTTTTAAATTTACCCTGAGGAAGAGATTTTCAAACGGAACAACGGCTCAGTTTTAAATTCAACAAGTTCCTCCGCATCAGCTGTTTCACACACAATGCCCTAAGTCCCACAAATTAGGGTACCCGGGAATTCACGCACCATAACACGCAGTTGTTAGCTAGCAGGATAACACACAGCACATTTGTCCCTCAAGAGAGAAAAAGTGTGTACTTTTGATGTATTTTAAACGAACGGCAAAAGGAGTGTAATAGACACATGTAACGTGTGCTTCTGCAGCGACTTGAAGACATTTTGGTCCAGAAAACGGTGGCTTCAGTTTGGAAAGAACGTTTTTTTTATGTTTGTTTCTATTATGATAAAAATTTACATTTTTTTAAATAAAGCAACAAAATAATTTTTAAACATATCCTGACGGTTTATATTGTGGCCAGATTTGGTCAATGCTGTATAAAAAAATTAAAGGGAGACTAAGCCGTTTTTCTTGCTTTTAGCGCCCCCTAGTTCAGTAGAAGCCAAAGTGGAAGCTAGCTCCTCGCTGTGCGTTTGTCTTTTTAACACCTTAAGCTGGGCATACACTGTGCGACGTTTTCACTTTTTTGAGTCGATTTTCCAGTCGTGCGAGAATCCACGAGATCGGTGCGAGTTTGGCGCTGATCGGTCGTGTAGTGTACAGGGGGTTACGAGAGGCGATTAACACCACGTGACCAGCTGCCGATTAGCAATCGTGAGGTCGCACGGACTTCTGGCGTGTTTAATATTTCGCTCGTCCCTCGTGAGGGTATCGCACTGTTGAAGCGGCGCTGCGAGCAGCTGCAACCCAAAAAGTATCAGAACCGCTCACGGCGCATGCGCAATCCTGCATCAACGCCACTCGCTCGCTATTTCCCTAATAACACACGCTGTTCGTTTTTGTTTCTACACGTTTTTTTTACTCACAAAGATTGTCAAGAAAGCGTGTTTGTCGTGTTCATGTCAAATTAAACTGATCACTAAACACAGATTTACTTTCTTTATTTCGTTTTCCTCATCCAACCCCCATAAATCCCTGTGTGTCCTCCTGCAGCACTCCCGAAGGACAACAGGCAAAACAAGACAAAAAAGTCTGACGTGTTGAGTAAAAACTGCTATTTTTAGCATATTTTTAGGGCCGACGTGTTGCTACCAGACGTACAGTGTGAGCAGTCAGGTCGCATCAGAGAACTGGGTCGTGCAGTGTGAGCGCATGACTCGTGAGATCTGCCCTGCGAGGAAGTCGTACAGTTTGAGCTGAAGCTGAGTGCTACGAGTGAAAAAGTCGCACAGTGTACGCCCGGCTTTAAAGGTTGACTATGGAACACGGACAATCTGGCGAACCCTGGTGTTCACAGGTGGTATTGCAACAATATGGCCAATTTTCCAGCCGCTGAGATGTTGGTTCACTGCTGACGCGTTCCAGCACCGTGTTCAGAGACAAATCGTACAGGACAAGGACTCATTTCTACTAATAAGTTTATTTTACAACAGTAGTTACTGTTAGAACATCTTCTGGACTCAGAATCAGCTGCTTGACTTGTCAAGTCCGCAATTTTACACATTCCCAACCCAAACTTTACCACAAAAGTGCCCTCTGGTGGCTAGTAGATGTAAACATAAACAGTGTCGTGCCTGACAGAATAAAAATGTGATTATTTATCTAAGAAATCCTGGAAATATCTTTAAATGATTGCAATTTTTAATCAAACTAGCAGCCATTGCTCTGCAGGCAACCAGAATTAGACTTTTTTTTATTCTGTGGTTCTTTTTAGATGAATAAACAGATAAATGAATAAATGTACACGTTTTTGTTTGTGTATCTTTCTTTTGAAGGGTGAATCTAGAACTGGCAGGATAGATTGTTTTTTTTTAACAGTTAAAACCAGATCTCTGAATCGGCCTACAAACTTGAATTCTGTGCATTTTCAGTTAAAGCTTGCTTTAAACATTAATAACAAGGTTGGTAAACATACAGTAACTCAGCCAGATGTGGGATATTGGAGATCCTGAGTAGAAACCCAGGTTAAGTTGCTGGTTTAACTGGTTTCCCTTTAAGCACGTCTAACTCTGGGCCCGTAGGTAACATCTAGCAGCAGCTGAGAATAACACACAGCTTTTACCTCCATCTGAAAACCAGCAGGCAACTAAAGGGCATCAGCGGAGGCCGTGTCTTTAGGACAAAGACACTGGAAGTGCAATAGAGCCTGTTGTGAGGAAGATGCTGAAAAGTTCTGTTCAACAAGGTCTGACGTGCGTACGTACCGCTCAGCCGCATAAATAACACCAGATTCCGAGCTTCAGCATTCTCCGTGGGGTTTACGCGATATGGGACACCAGTTAGATACGACTTCTCGTTCCAGCTCTAATTTTCAACATCAGACTTAAAAGTGAAGGATCTTCTAAATCTAAGCTGTCCACCTGCTTCTGTCTTGCTGCTGAAGCCTGCAGCCTGTTTGAGAGCAGCAGCTGTGAGGGCCAGACCCCTACTCTTCCTCAGGCCGTGCTGGAAAACCGCCTCGAACTGGGCACACAGACAGATCACCCTGCAAGGACACACAAACAAAATCCACATTGTGTTAAGCATCCGTTAAGTTCACTGAAGAAAAACATTTGTACTTATAGCTCTGAAACACGATCTGTCACTGAGTTTTTCATGCAGGCTGAACATGACAGCAAGCAGAGTCAGTGGTAGAGTCGTGTTGCTGTTATCCAATCAGAGGTGAGATGACCAAATATCATGATTGTTACCGAGTAAGACTCCAAACCCTGCCGTTTTCTGCTCCAGCTCATTTCTACTTCCTGAAACAGGAGTGCCAGAGCATTTTGTCCCATAGAGATTGAGGAAACTCACAAGGCATTCGTTTATAAAGACAGCTGTGTTGAAAATAGGGCTGGGCGATATGGCAAAAATAGAATATCACGATTTTTCCAATATTTTATCACGATTTCGATTTTATCACGATTTTTTTTCATGAATAGCACAACTTCAATTGCGTATTAAAGAAGAGAAACATTGAATAAATAAACATTTATTCATATTAGGGATAATCAGCACAGTGCTAACACACTTATATTTTAAACTCACACCAAAGATGATAAAAGCCCTGAGAGAAACAATTACAAGAATCAGTTTTTCTCGTTTTTCAAGTAACTTAACATAAATTAAAATCGTAAACATATTTAAAGTGCAAACATGTCAATTGCAAACGTATTGTGCAAACATTAACTTGTTCAAAATACTATGTAGCTCCCAGTTGCTCATGTAGTGGATAGTCAAGCTCAAATACATGCGGCTGGACCAAAGATCGCTTGTGGTAGCAAAAAACTGCGCATTCTGAATATTTTCTGCAACGCTCACTTTGCATTCAGCGTACATGCGTGGAACGGCGGTGTCCGAAAAATACTTGCGGCTGGAAAACTCGTAGCGCGGATCCAATGTTTTTATCATTTTCTTAAATCCCGCTCCTACTGTTCGCACGGGACACAAATCTTTAACCAAGTGGTACGTCTGCATCTGTCACGCTGTTCCATCGTCTGCTGTCTCTGTCGTATGAGTTTTGTGTGTGTTTCTGTTAGCGTTTGCTGCCTGGAAGAAGCACTAGCCGCTGCCGCTGCAGCCGCAGGCTTTTTAGCTTTAGCTGCCAGCTGGATCTCATTGTACTGTTTGGGATGCCTTCTTTTCAAGTGATTAAACAAGTTTGTGGTGTTGCCACCACTTGCCTTGACGCTCTCCTTGCAAATGACGTTTTGCTGCTCTTTGTCATCTGGTGAAAAACCAAACCAGTTCCATATAATGGACGAGGCGTTCCTCTTTGGAACGAAAACCTCGTTGTCGCTCTCAGCCGCGGCCGAAGCCATGTTTGTTCACACACAGGTGAAAACAAGCGGGGCACTAATATATTACCGTGACTCACTGATTGGTTAAGGGTCAAACAAAGGCGTGTCATTCGCCTGGGGTAAGTTCACTTTTCATTCAGAGGCAGAATTTCAACAGCAGAGCTGTGAATCGTGATAAAAAGGTCTCTCCAAAATGACAGACCGTCAGATGTGTAGATCATAAAACGGTCTAAAATCGTCATATCGCCCAGCCCTAGTTGAAAAACAAGTGAACTTGGTCTTTAAGCTCACCTACGGTGCAGAGACTAATTATTGTTGGTCAAAATCACAACTACACTTTTAATAATTTAAATAATAATTTAAATAATATTAAATAATCCAAAGCAGCTAGCTTTATTTTTTTTTACACAAGGCCTTTATTCTGACAGCTGTATATGGTCTGGGAGGCGGGGGCATCTTCTTTCAGTTTTTGGGTTTTGTGCATCAGGACACACCTAGTCCATCTCAGCCTGTGGGTCTCACATTAGACTCTAGAGGACTTCGGTCTACAGAGGACTTCCTGGAGGACTCAGCAGCTGTGAGGAGCCCAAACCGCCAGCCCTCCACCACCGTGCTGACAGCCAGGATCAGCTGTTTGTGCTGATATGCTGTGTCTGGTTTGCACCAAACACGACCCAGTGCATTATGGGTGAACATCTCTACTTTGATCTAATCTGTTCAAAGATTAAATTTCACAAAGCTAAGGAGGTCTGATCTTGTGGCTACCTTACGGAGACATGTGGGGGGGGGGGGGGGGGGGCTGTCAGCTGTTTTAAATGTTTCTACTCCTGAATAGTTTAATGATGTGGAACATTGGAAACCTATTTTTTAATGATTATTTCTGATTATAATCAGTCACTCTGAGATTTTCATGCACGCTGAACATAGTCTCCTACACCTATCTCCTGCATTAGCTTCTGATAGAAAATAGATGGTGAAACTCAAGGATTAGAAAATCCTGACGGCTCTACATCACACTGTCGCTTAACATTCATGGACTCACCCATCTTGACTCACGACGGGAAAGGCTGTTGTTGGTTTAGCATCCAGGAAACGGCAGTTTGTCCCGGCTGGTAAAACCTAACCGTTAGCATTAGCAACTCCACATCACGGCAGAACTCCTCCAGGCTTGTGTTATTTGTGGAGATAAATCATCCATGTTGCAAAGCAAACTGAGTCAGTGGTAGAGTCACGTTGCTGTTAGCCAATCAGAGACAAGATGTCCCAATATCAGGAAATAAGATTCCAAATTCTGCCGTGGTCTGCTCAGCTCCGATGTGGCATTCTAACTGTTCCTACGACACTCATTCCTACAAGAGACCACTGTAAATGTATTGATTAAACAAGTGTTCCACACATTTAATTGTCTGAAAACTGATCGACTCCAAATAGTTTTGAAATGACGTTTAACGTTTCTCAGATAGAAATTTTGTTTAGCTGTAAATTAAGAAAACTGCACAGAGGAAGGTGGAGGTAAAGCAGCCACAAAGACCTAAATCAAAGATGTTTGGTGCCAAATAAACACACAGACCTGCAAACTCGTCTTACCTGCTGTCTGAGTCGGTGGCAATCTCCTTCCTTCCTCCAAAGCGGATTTGGCACTGAAAGACAAGAGAGGCACTAGAAAGAGCAGAAGGAAAAATTCCCAAGGGTCTCATTTATCAAGCTTGCTTACGCACAAAACGGGGTCGGAAAACTGCGTAAGCAACTTTCCACGCAAACTTTGGGATTTATGAAAGAAAACTGCGTAAAAATGTGTGCAACTTTAAGTTGGCTAAGGACCTTGCTTACGCACATGTTGGACATGGAGAGCACCTGCAGTGCTGCTGCTGAGAAGGATAAAATTATGAAATCCTGCAGCTTTATCACTTGTACTGCTTTGTTTTCACACAGAACAAGACCCAACACACGTGCTCGTACACACACACACACACACAGCCTGAAGCCAGAATACGGAATGCAGAATATCAGCAGGGGGACAGATTGATACAGAATGTCATGTGACGGTGTGTGTCCTGTCACTGTGACCCGATTGGTCATGCGCCGTGGCTACTTAAACAAGGGAGATCTTCGTTTGGCTGACTGGTTAGTGCGCAGGATCGAATCCTGATCAGATCATTTTTTTATATCCGCCACAGATCTCTTTGAAGAACTCCTCACTGACGGCTTCAGCAACGCTGTGCCACTCCGTGGATTTTCTCTTATTTGTTTTGCAAAAGCACTTCCTTTCATTTCTCCACCTCACCCACAGGTACCTCAATTTCTGCTTCTGTGAAATTGCGCTTCCTTGATCTGCGGTCGTGATCAAAATGCTGCAACAAGCCGGCTTATGTATATGCATGAGATCCACAAGGCACTTTGCATTGACTATTTATGGCAGTAAGTGGGCGTGGTGAGTAGGGCTGTCGCAATAATCGCAAGAAAAATACATCGCAATATTAAGAAACCCACCGCGCTGCATGACGTGCCACCGCAATTACCGCACTTAATCTCGCGACAGCGCATGCTGAGAGGTAAAGTCCGCGCTGATCGAGGAGATAGTAGGGCACTTTTTTTTATTTCTGTTATATGTTGCAGCCAAATTTGCATTTCAAAGTTAAACCACCTGAATGTTGTTTTTAAGTTCAGTCAGAGAATGCCGTTACTGCCCTTTGATCTGCATTCAATAAAGTGTTAAAAATGGCCATGTATTTTTTTTCCAACATTTTTTAAATGTGTAAGCACAATGTTTCAAAGGAAATATTGCCATGAGTTTAGTAATTAACAAACAAATTTGCTGAGTACATAAATATAAACGGGGTGCAATAATATTGCATATCGCAATATTGAGCTGCCCTGACTCACCGCAGGGGGAATTCCTCAATCGCGACAGCCCTAGTGGTGAGGGCGGGATGTGACTAAAATGCAGCTGAGAAACATTCTCGTTACTCTCAGATTTATGAAGCGGAGATTGCGTGCAGCTGTGCGTACTCCATGTTTGACAGATCACAAACCTGCTTGGCGTAAGCACATTTTTTTTGCTGAGCTTAAGTACGGTTTTAGTAAGGATTCTATGCAATGTTTGATAAATGAGACCCCTGCACTTTATTTTGCATGATTAGTTTGTCAGAGTTTAGTTTTTAGTGCACAAAGGAAACACTTCACACAAAAATACGTATAACTGGCTTCTAGGGCTACACGACATTAGGAAAACATGCAATATGTGATAACAGTGATTAATGTTGCAATGACTATATTACTTCCGATATATAAAAACTTAACTTAGAAACAAAAATAATCAAAAACAAAGAAATAAAAAAATGACTAAAAAAATATCATAAAAATGAGAAAAGCAAAAGATGTGAGAAAAGGAAAAAGAAAATGAACAAGAAAAGGAAACCAGTGGATTCTGGGGAAAGCAGAATGAGCAGAACAAAGCTAACTCAGGTGTTTGCTAACCATGGTGGCGTCACTTCCTTCGTTTATCCGCGGGCAGCAGAGGACGTTGTTGCCCTCTGCTGCCCGCTCTCCCCTCTCCGATGATGCAGTCCCA